CACGACTCTATCAGTGATCCAACGATGAGCGATTGTTTGATCAGATTTGTTGTTTAGCTTGTTTGATCAGATATGTTATTTGATGTGAAGGTGTAGGCGGTTGTTTGATGAGATGTGGTGGGTAATTGTTTGGTCAGATCTGTTATTTACCCATACTTATTAGATTCGGTCTGGACATCGATCCGATCGAAGTACTGGGTTTCAAGTTACTGGTCAAATTGGTAGTTTAGTGGTTGGACCGGTGGGTCAGTGATTAAAATTCTAAAAAGTTTTTAAAGTATAAAATTTTCTTTGAGATAAAATTAAAGTTTTTAAATTATTTGTCATTAATTATTTATATATTTTTAGATTATTTTGTTAAACATTCAATTCATTTTAATTAAAATTAGGACTATAATTTTTTCCAAAAAATATTTTTAACAAACTATAAATGATTTCCTAAGTACCATGCTTAGATGATGCACACTACATTAATGGATAGTTTGTTTGTCACTTAAGCACTGTGTTAGCATAAACTAAACACAGTTCTTAGGAGATCAAATTCGTGTGAGTGTGTGTGTATGTATAGGTGTTAGACTACTCACCTTACTTTAAGGTCTAAGGTTCAAATCTTTTGAACACCAAAAATTTAAAAGAAAACTTTTTAAATGTGGTCAAACAAGTCAACCAGGCCAGTTTAATATAAAAATTGTCGATTAACTCGATCAACCAATGGCTCAACTCGATCAAACTGAATTTTAACTAAGTCATTTGCATTTTTATTAAATTATTTAACTCGGCCTGGTCAACGGCTCGGGTCAGCAGTTTTCCTACCCGATCGATCGTTGCATGTTGAGTTTTATACCTATGGTTTAGCCTGAGTTTTAGGATGGTTGTTGGTGTTTTGCAAATGATGCTAGTGATTTTCTTATCTATGGGCTGTTCTGTTGTGGGTGGTGGTGTGGAAGGCGATGGTTCTATTGCTGGTGGCGCATGTGGTTGTGATAAGGTGGTGCGCGTTTGGTTCTTGACGGTGTTGGGAGTGGTGGTGGCGATGGCAACTGGGTGTGACCAAGTCTATCTTCAACGTGATTGTCTGTGACTAGATTTATATTAACTGTAACTGTATGTGACTTCGTTACATGCAGTCACAAATTAAATTGACATGATTACAGACAGTCACACTGAAAATAAATTTGGTCACAGTTAGTCACAAATAACACAGGCCAGTGACTTGGTTATATACAATCACAAATTAGACGGTCACAAACAGTCACGCTAGAGAAAAAATTGATCATAGTTAGTTAACTGTAACACAATTCTGGTCACAAACAATAAATTTGATTATAGATAATACAGTTAGTCAAACGCTTTGAAATTTTTAAGATTTCTACAGTGGGGTGGGGTGAACATTTTCAATTTCGAGAAATTTTCTACTATAGGGTGGGGTGGTTACAACCTATATGGCCAAAAGAGCCCATGAAGCCGAAGGGAGTTAGTTGCTTGGCTACCTACTTTTCAACCCAAATAAAGCAGAAGGAACGAATCCAACTAAGTACAAGAATACTAAAATAGCATCCAAACCCTTGAGCTTAAAGTGAAGCAAAACCACATGTTACCGGATGGCAAAATGCACAGGCGGGTTAGTCGGAGAATCATGGAGGAACCACCAAATTTTATTTTATTTTTACTTTATGTTTATATTTTGAAATTTAAATTGTTTTTAAAAGATAAGTAAATAAGGAAACAAGATTAGAAATGGAGACCATGCTAAGAACAAGAATCACATACATTAATTGATAGTCTGAAATTCATACCTGCGGAAGACATTTTTTGTTTATAAATATTACCAGCTAGGTCTTTCTCTCCTTGCTCCTCAAAAATAATCAGCTATCAATGGGGTAAACTAATAAACGATATGGAGAGGAGAGGGGACATACCCATCATATATGAAATTATAAATTCAGCCCATTACCGACTCTAACCCTAATTAGAGTTTACATAATTCCGGCCCACATACTTAAAATTACCACATTATAAAAATATAGTCCATAAGGTGTACAATGACTCAAGTGATCACTAACATATTGAGCATAATCACATTATCATTGCAAATCATACATCTAACTCGTAAAATTCGCAATCAAATGGAAGCTCACACAATAAAATTATTCTAACATTCTCCTACTTGGGTAAACATTTGATTGCTATAGAACAGAACTTTTAACATACGGGTCAGACGACATAGATGGCCACACAAATATAGCTGCAATGATAACACCTTACACAACATGATCTAGTCCAACATGAATGTTAACATCAAACATGGAAGTCGTTATACCAATCAAATGATGTAAAATCACTCTACGGCTACAAATGCCAACATTCTTATCGACATGGATCCCCATCCTCCAACCAATGTGATAGTATGCAGTATGAACTTAGCACAAAATGTGATAAAAAAATTGTGCTAATTCATATCAATCCTCACAATGCTTCTAATAAAAATGAAGCCACATGTCTCTAAAAGAGACTCATCTTCTGTCTTTAATTGTCATATCTCGAAATCAAAATAATATCATAATAAAAGACATAAGTCAAATGCATGCTCAAAATAATTTATGGATAGGGAAAAATATATTTTATTATTGGAAGGGGCTGTAACCGAAAAACATATGGGTTGTCTACATACCCCATGAAGAGATCAACCAGAAACGTAGTTATCTTACATAAATAATTCACACTAACCAAAAACATCAAAAGTTTCCACAATACTCATATTAGCAACATGTGTCTTAAAAACTTTAGGTACGAGTCCCTTAATCAAAGGATCTTCAATCATCGCCTCTGCATTAATATGCTCTATTTTCGTTTGCCCTTCCTTGACTCTGTCTCTGACCACCTAATATTTGATATCAATGTGTTTTGATCCACTATAAATTTTATTATTACTTGAAAAGAACACTTCGCATTATCACAATAAATAGTTATTGGCCTCGAGATAGAATCGACAACTTTCAGCCCAGAAATAAAATTTCTTAACCAAACATCTTGAATTGTAGCTCCATAACATGCCACAAATTCAACCTGGATGGTAGAAAATGCCACCAGAGTATGCTTAACACTTTTCCATGAGATAGCACTACCAGCCAACATGAAAATATAACCTGAGATTGATTTCAAATCATCTTGACATCCAGCAAAATCAAAATTTGAGTAGCCTACCACCTCAAGGTGATTTGATCGCTGGAAAGTGAGCATGTAACTTTTAGTTTTCTTTAAGTATCTCATAACTTTTTTAGCCGCTTTCTAATGCCCTTGCCCTAGATTTGACTGAAACCTACTGAGAACACTGACTGCATAAGAAATATCCGGTCTAGTGCAAAGTTAAGCATACATCAAACTCCCCACAGTACTAGCATATGGTATTATCTTCATAGATTCTCTTTCTAGCTCATTCCTTGGACATTAAGCTTTGTTAAACTTATCCCATTTTATGATAGGTACATCACCAGGTGCACATTTCTGCATATTGAACATTTCTAGAAGACGTCGTATATAAGTCTTCTGAGAAAGTTCTAACACGTGACGATTTCTATCACGATGTATTTCAATGCCAAGCACATAAGTAGCTTTTCCAAGATCTTTCATTTCAAAATTAGCAGATAACATTTTATTTATCTCATGAAGTAACCCCAAGTCACTGCTAGCAAGTAAAATATCATCAACATATAGGACAATATAAATAAAATTTCTCCCATTGATTTTGAGATAAATACATTGATCAACTATATTTTCAACAAAACCAAGAGAAGTCACAACTTCGTCAAATTTCAAATACCACTGTCATGATGCCTGCTTAACGTCATATAAGGATTTATTCAACTTACATACTAAATTTTCTTTTCTCTTCACAACAAAACCTTCAGGTTGTCTCATGTAAACCCTTTCCGAAAGATCTCCATTCAGGAAAGCCATCTTAACATCCATCTGATGAAACTCCAAATTATAATGTACCACAAGTGCCATGATAATGAGAAAAAAATCTTTGGACAAAATATGTGAAAAAGTTTCATTATAAACAATATCCTCTCATTGAGTGAACCCTTTTGCAACTAATCTCACCTTCTTTCGTTCAACATTCCCTTTTGAGTCCAATTTACTTTTGAAGATCCACTTGTTATCTATGGCTTTAGCATCCGGAGGAAGTTCAACAAGTTCCCAAATTTTATTCTCTTCCATAGAATTTATTTAATCTTCCATATCATTTATCCATTTATGTGACTCGATTGGGTCAAAAATATGCCCAACATTAAAATCTCTCCAACAAATATGTAATATAATCATTGGGCAATGCAGACCTTCTTTCCCTTTGCGATCTCCTAACTTGTGGCTCAATAGCTGACTCAATCGTTGCTGGTGGAGGAACCTGAAGTCCCTCTTAGTACCTTGGTTCTTCATTAACAATTTCAGCTGGTTGAGATATAACTATCTCCTGCATGACAGGAATTAGAACAATAACTTGATTCAATTCAACAAAAAATTCCT